TCCAGCACCAGCACCAGCTCCAGCACCAGCACCAGCACCAGCTCCAGCACCAGGACCAGGACCAGCACCAGCACCAGCTCCAGCACCAGGACCAGCTCCAGCACCAGCACCAGCACCAGCACCAGCTCCAGCACCAGCACCAGCACCAGCTCCAGCACCAGGACCAGGACCAGCTCCAGCACCAGCTCCAGCTCCAGCACCAGCTCCAGCACTTGCCGGATAAAACAAACTGCCTAATTTTAAACCACAGATCACTCCATTCATGTGTTTAGTGTTGAAATCAGTCAGACCTATATTTAATAGTCCTAGATTATTGGTTATTGGTTAGTTCTGACAGACATTCAAAGAAAATGCATTGCAACTTGGCAGGGAAACTATTTATAATCCAGCATTAGGCCAGATTTTTACAAAAATATTTACAAACTTAAACAAATATAAAAGTTATAAATATACAATAATTATTAAAAACAGTGGGTTTTTCAATGAGTGGACAAGAAACATGTTAAATGTTTACAAAAAGCTCATTTACTGTCTTAATTCTGTTATATAAGTAATTAAACCATTGTGGTGATTAGGATCACTCATGTAAATTAAGTGATATAATATATTAACATATTATTATCCTGATGCAATAATGTTTCAGGTGCACTTGTTAGTGCGTGGGGATGCAGTCCAAGGCAGAGGAGTTGTGCTGTCTGGATGTCGCTCCCATCGGTAACAAGCTTGATACAAGAACCTCTGACTGCTACGGCTGCATCATCACTCACCTTGGTCTCCATGAAGTCTCCTCAAGCATATACAGTATGTAGGCCTTATACAATGAGTTTGTTTTCACCAGTTGATCACAAAGAGATGAACCAGAGCTCAAATTTGATAGGAAAATATTCCCTGAAATCTTTGAATAAATTCTTTGCTCATTGAATGTAATGTAATGAAGTTTCTAGGAATCAAATACTCAAGAAAAGTGGAAACACATGTTTATGTCCTAAAGGAAACCTTAGAACCCCACAATCAAGGAATGGGGGAAACCTCAGAACCCCACAATCAAGGAGTGTGGGAAACTTTAGAACCCCACAATCAAGGAATGGGGGAAACCTTAGAACCCCACAATCAAGGAATTGGGGAAACCTCAGAACCCCACAATCAAGGAATGAGGGAAACCTCAGAACCCCACAATCAAGGAATGAGGGAAACCTCAGAACCCCACAATCAAGGAATGGGGAAACCTTAGAACCCCACAATCAAGGAATTGGGGAAACCTCAGAACCCCACAATCAAGGAATCGGGGAAACCTCAGAACCCCACAATCAAGGAATGAGGGAAACCTCAGCACCCCACAATCAAGGAATGGGGGAAACCTTAGAACCCCACAATCAAGGAATGGGGAAACCTCAGAACCCCACATTCAAGGAATGAGGGAAACCTCAGAACCCCACAATCAAGGAATGAGGGAAACCTTAGAACCCCACAATCAAGGAATGGGGAAACCTCAGAACCCCACAATCAAGGAATGAGGGAAACCTCAGAACCCAACAATCAAGGAATGAGGGAAACCTCAGAACCCCACAATCAAGGAATCGGGGAAACCTCAGAACCCCACAATCAAGGAATGGGGGAAACCTCAGAACCCCACAATCAAGGAATCGGGGAAACCTCAGAACCCCACAATCAAGGAATGAGGGAAACCTCAGAACCCCACAATCAAGGAATGAGGGAAACCTCAGAACCCCACAATCAAGGAATCGGGGAAACCTCAGAACCCCACAATCAAGGAATCGGGGAAACCTCAGAACCCCACAATCAAGGAATGAGGGAAACCTCAGAACCCCACAATCAAGGAATGAGGGAAACCTCAGAACCCCACAATCAAGGAATGAGGGAAACCTTAGAACCCCACAATCAAGGAATGAGGAATACCTCAGAACCCCACAATCAAGGAATCGGGGAAACCTCAGAACCCCACAATCAAGGAATGAGGAAAACCTCAGAACCCCACAATCAAGGAATCGGGGAAACCTCAGAACCCCACAATCAAGGAATGGGGAAACCTCAGAACCCCACAATCAAGGAATGAGGGAAACCTCGGAACCCCACAATCAAGGAATCGGGGAAACCTCAGAACCCCACAATCAAGGAATGGGGAAACCTTAGAACCCCACAATCAAGGAATGGGGAAACCTCAGAACCCCACAATAAAGGAATGAGGGAAACCTCAGAACCCCACAATCAAGGAATGGGGGAAACCTCAGAACCCCACAATCAAGGAATCGGGGAAACCTCAGAACCCCACAATCAAGGAATGAGGGAAACCTCAGAACCCCACAATCAAGGAATGAGGGAATCCTTAGAACCCCACAATCAAGGAATGAGGAATACCTCAGAACCCCACAATCAAGGAATCGGGGAAAGCTTAGAACTCCACAATCAAGGAATGAGGAATACCTCAGAACCCCACAATCAAGGAATCGGGGAAACCTCAGAACCCCACAATCAAGGAATGAGGGAATCCTTAGAACCCCACAATCAAGGAATGAGGAATACCTCAGAACCCCACAATCAAGGAATGGGGGAAACCTCAGAACCCCACAATCAAGGAATAGGGAAACCTCAGAACCCCACAATCAAGGCATGAGGGAAACCTTAGAATCCCACAATCAAGAAACGTGTAAATAAAATTCTACCATGAGTAAATAAAACGCGAACTCTTTGGTGCTAGCAAATACACTGAGTGAAGCAGCTCGGAATTGAGTCCAGTGTTTTGAGTGGATTATCGATCTGAATTACGGAATCACCGAACAAAATATGGCGCTGTATATACTCAAGCAGTTTGTTTACACCCAAATACATCACTCAAACATATGACAGGCATTGAAAGCATATAAGCACAGCAACTTGGTAAGTTAACATGAGGGGGGAATCCCTAAAGAAAACAAAGCAAGCTTTGCAAGGCTTTAGCTCTACATCGCACGTCACCATAATGAGGCCATGTCGCTCATTTGACGCAAAAGATATGATGTCACACTGGTATATAGAAAAGCTCCAAAATTCCAAGCTCTCTGTTGTCTCCAAAACGTAAATACATTCCCTTTGTAGATTTCTATCGTGTTTTCTGCACGAAATGTATTGACACATATCCTTTTGAATATTGTAGTAACCGCATCTGTGCATTTTGTAACCTGTAATTGTAGATATAATTATTTAAATATGCCTACTGACAATGACTGAAAAAAGTACTATTCTATGAATATTAGCTTCCGCGGTGATGCGGCTGTCAAACCAGCTGTTTCAATCAGAGGGGGTTTATTGCGATTTATTAGCCTCTGATTGACCAATCAGAATCGAGTAAATTCCAAATTCATGGTAGAATTAATTTTAAACTTATCCTAACTTTCAGTTTGCACGTCTTCTTTCTTCTTCGATCAAATGCAAAAATGTGCTTGAAGAGATGTTTCCAGCCTCGTCCGAAGACATCAGAGCATTACCACGGTCAGCACTCAAACAAATAAGTCACACACTGTGATCCTCTGCCTACACGACCTGATCACATGCTTACCCCTGCCACATCATTCTCTTTCGTCAGAGCTAACAAGCTAGATGAGCTGTGATGCAGGTATGGTCGCGTTGGCACATAGCATGTGAGATACGATCACTTGTCTAATGAACAACAGGAAGTGCAAATAAAAAAGTACAGTTTTGAGTATTGGTCTAGTGCTTTCTGAAGACATTTACAGACGCTGATGGATAACAGACTAGACAATGAAGACACCGCCATGTTAATAAATAACACATGGGTCGGAACTATTTACTAACTGTTTTTGGATAAAAAATTAACTTTTGAATAGATATTACTTCCATAACTCTTACTGATTTCATTCAGAATTCCTCTGTTGATGCCTTTAATTTAATGAATATGAGATGTTTATGACTTGTACAGCCTTACAAGTGTTTCATCACATCAATGCTAACTTAAATTATTATTTTTCAAAGATATTCTTCCCTGTAATGAAAAGGTTTTAACTGCATGCAAATATGTAATATAATATTAAACCCCATAAGATGTTCATGACTTATCAGCCTTACACATTTCTGTAACAGCTAAAGTTAGGACTTGTTCAGCTTTAGAAATTGGCACTCATCCTGAAGTCTTTGCCAAACTGCCCAATAGTTAAGGTATCATAAGGACAAGTAGAAATTTTCCATTTTCTTAAGTTTTGCTATATGTTATCCTTATAAGGACTAGTGGACTGAAACTGTTAGTTTCTACCGCTGTTGTTATTTCCCCCTGATCACACTGGGTTACTCATTCTTGTAATAACCTAGGCACTTTATTCATAAAAGATGTTCTGGAATTAACAGATATATTTATTGAATGACAGAGACAAGTTGTACTTTTAATAGGGAAGTATTTGTGTAGGAAAAGCAGGAAAACACATACCGTATTCGACGTGATAAGTGCCTGGGGCGCTTTCAAAATTAGAAATAGGGGGCTCTCATTAGAATATAATTTTGGTGACAAAAAAAAAACAGAGTTAAAAGATTGTAAATTTCGTAGTTTATGCTGACAGCCTGAAATGATACAAAAGAAAAGTATGTGCGTATCATACACGGCAGATATATTTTCCAGAATTTAATTGCCCATAATAAAGGGTGCATACTACACACAAGTGCGTATTATACACAAATAAATAAGTGTTCATTGATCAATCGGAAGGGGTGCTAATTGGGATTGTTCACTAGCCAATATATTAGCAAATATCGCCTTGGGCGCTTATTAGAGCGGGGCGCTTATTACGTTGAATAGAGTACTAGCATTGAAGTTGATACTCATGTGCAAACCAAATTGAAGTCTTTGGTGTGGCAGTGCTTCATGGAAAAATGAAATCTAGACTTAGGTCAAACTTGATGACAAGAAGTTTGAACTGGGAAACAAGTCAGTTTTAAAGAGCATGTCATCATGCAGTTATTACACCAGATTAAGAAGGAAGACAAGTGAACATTACCTGAAAGTTGTATCTTCACTTTGCCACTTTTTCCAAAGCTCCCTTGTATAGTTCCCTTCTGTCCAGATGAAAGTTCAACCTGCATCCCTGTAAACAAAGTTATGTCGGTTTCCTTCTTGAACAGGTTTTTGGCAATCACTGTGTACTTATCTGTGGCTCGTTCCATCAGCCCTTCCCGTCTTTTCACCTTAACAACCTTCACTTTGGGTAAAACTGTTGTCAGGTAATCAGCATCAGCAAAAGACTCTAATATGTTCCCATGGAACGCAAGGCGACAGACATTTGCATCAACATCAGAATCTAACTTGGAGCCGATGAAAATAGCTGATGGCAAGCATACAACAGGTCTGTCAAACTGCAAAAGAGCAAAATTGTCCATTGTCTGCTCCACTGTATCACAGGATGCAGACACTTCTTCTTGGAATTCATATTCTTGTGAAAAGTTGAATCTTTTCAATTCAGGGCTATCTTTCTCTTGACTGCATCTAAAGAATGAAGCATGTCCCATTACGGTGTCATGTCCTACAGTTATATGATACTTGGATTTGTTGGAAATATTCCCTTTGAAGTGAGATATTTTGTGTATTGATACCAGGGCTGCCACTGTTGTTGAGAGGCTTCCTGGGGTGCATACAAATCCTCGCTCAAGCAGTTTGGGATCAAATTGAGTTACACACACACCTGCTCTGTCACCCTGTAACACAGACAGACATTTATCAGTCATCATTAATTAACATAAAATTCCTTTCACTTCTATGCCAACTTTTAACAGGGAACAACATGAATCAAATTTTCACATCCCTATCATTACCGCATGATAAAGATTGTCATCAATTTGGAACAGTAAAACTGAAGTCACAACTTTACAGGAAGGTAACAAATAAGGCTGAAAAAAAAAAGGTTTCTCAGACAATAGCTTTTGAAAATATCGTGCGGGCGGACGGCCTTTTTTTAAAGTTTGGTTGGGTACACACTAGTAAGAATCCAAATGGATGGAGAATGATATCATAATCAAATATATCATAAATGCCATACATTGAATCGCTGGAAGTCATACTTGTTGTAGTTTGACTATTATATGTCAACATAAGGTTTTCGCCATTGCGGGCACGGGAGCATCGAATGCGATTGATCAAATTCTTCCATATAAAAAAATATCCGGCAATAGTGATCAGCTGAACCAAAGTGCTACTCTTATCGTTATTAATTTATTTCACATATATAAAGCTGAAACTAACATAATATTGGAATAAATTATTCCTGATAAAACAAGTATGAAATACTCTTACCCCCCACCAATATGACATGTCCGGTTGTGTGCAATGCATTAGCTCCTGTGAACAATGTTCACTGGACCTTTTTGTAAATGGCCTAATTGCAGAACTAAAAAAGTTATTACTGGTGTTGTTTTGCCATCTGCAATTAATAATAGAATACATAACTGTATTTGTAATGATTAAGGATGAGACATATGGACGAACAACTTCTTTATTACAATTATGAGCAACGTTTCGGTGTAGGTTCAAAAATCGTTATGAAGCAAGTGAAGTACAGAGTATGGTTGACAAGAATCTATACATCCTCGGAGGCAGTGTTCATACAGCTGAGTAGGTTTAAGATGCAGTTACACTGTTGTATTTGTAACGAGTTGTGCTATTACTTAAACAATATTGTGATGCCCCATGCTAAAGTTCCTGGATATTGTTTTCTTTCAACCATGACAAAATATTGTACGGTTTTCAAGATCTGCTCCAGAAACAAGCACTACCACCATTTTCAGTCTAAGTCAAAGCTGTTGCCAGGGAAACTAAAAAAATCTTTTTTTTTAAAATCCCAAAGAATCAAAAGGCACCACTTTACGTCTGGACCTATTTAATGTGCCACGTTTGGTGAAGAAATAAGGACGGAAAGACGGACGGATGGCACCCATTCCTATATTCCCCTTCCACTTCGTGGCGGGGGATAATAATAGTTTCAGATACAACTCTTCCACTCATTTTTCAAAATTCTTTAAAGTTATATAATTGGGTGATTTTTGACCGAATCACCGGTAGATTCCGAGAAACGTGTGCACAGCTGATTGTTGCTTCTGGCTTAGTTTATGAGACAAGATGTACAGTAATCTTAATCTCTGCATATAAAACAATGCTAATGAGAACAGGAATTACAATTTAATCGGCAAATCATTATGTTTAGTGATGTTTTATCTCAAATTTCAAATTTGTATTGGCCAAGTTTAATTGTTATAATCTATTCCATTTGCCTGAATTCGCTGAAGGGCTACGATGTAATGTTGTATCGCAAATTTTATCTTTTCTTTGACCAAATTTGAAAACAGCAAAACAAGCAAGCAAATTCCTTTTGCTGCCATGACAATAACACACGAGATGTGCAGTAAAGCAGTGCGCATGAAAAGGGAAGTAACTGCACGTTGTATTGGATTGTATTGTTTTTAAGTATTGTAGCATTTCACTTTTGAGGTTGTGTGTTCGAGACATGGAAAATTTAAGGATTTTTTTGTTTTGAAAATGTAAAAAAAACCGAAATGTGCAACAGTAGCTGAGAACCAACAATATTTGATTTTTTTTAGCCTTACATAACTTTACATAAACCACAAACTGCATATCAAATTTTATGAGATACATGAAAAATGAGACACACACACCTCTGTAGCCAAACTAAATAATAAATACTTCCATAACACTTCAACTGTATTTTGATGACCAACATCAATAGTGAGTTAAAGAAACATGTACAATGATTCTGTGAAAAAGAAAATACAGTAAATTTGAAAAACTTTACAATGATATCGAAAGCAAATTTGGATCTTCTTTGGTTTAACCCTTTCGCCCCGACTGCCCGATTTATCGGGCAGGATAAACCGTGTCCCAGGACCCGGCTGCCCGAAAAATCGGGCAGCATAAGCCGAGGCCCAGAACCCGGCTGCCCGATAAATCGGGCGGCGCGAGCGTGTTTACAAAATCGCTCTTTCTACTTCCTTTCTCGTGTGTAATCTCGTTCTAAATATGGAAACGAGATCTACACGTATTGACACGTCATTCGATGGAATTTCCCCGTCTTTTTGGCGCGAAAATCGCGGGTATGTCACCTGTTTTCGCGACAGGTATTTTTCTCGCTTGAATCGTAAATCAAGCGTAATGGCGGCCAACTACGATTCGGATAGCGATCAGATGATTAACAACGACTATATCGGGAATAATAATGTGTTTGAATTGAATAATTTACGCGAAGGGGAGAGGGAATTTCGCGAATATTTTCGTGAAGATTTTGACGGTTTCGACGAGGTGTCCCCCCCCCCCCCCCCGCCAACTTTCGAGAATGGGAGTGGCAGAGGGACACACGACAGTGGAGACATGAGGGATTTTGAAGAGGCGACCGGATTCAAGAATATATATTGACACGGTGAGTGAAGAGTCGTGCTATTGATTTTTTCCAACTGTTTTACAATGATTCTGTGTTTGAACAGATTATCAGTGCGACGAATGAGAATGCAGCCTACACGTGAACGAGCGATCACAACAACAACAAAGGTGAGTGGCATGACGTATCTGTTTTGTTTTTTTTTTAATTTATTTTTCTGATCGCAATCCGAATTGTAGTTTGCCGGTTTGTCGTATGTCCTTATATTTCGCTCAATTTGAATAAAATTTATTTCCATATTCATGTTTGTTTTCTTGTTTTTTACATCTTAATTTAAATTTTAGTAACTGTAATGATTATTTATTTATTAATTGATTTAATAAAGTACTGATTTAATTTATTATGCAATTGTAAATAGCAGTGTATTGTAAATATGTTATCACAACTTGTATATTTGCAGAACTTGAATTTACGATCTTTCCGTCCTTTTACAATGTTTCCCTCTTCAGATCAATCTGTGTTATCTTCCCTGTGATGTCATTCTTATAGTAGCTGTGGTTCAATGTTCAGATAATGTGATAAATAACTTTTTAAAAACTTAAATACTTAATTTTTGTTTCAAATCCTGAAAAAGAACAAAATAAATCAAATATTTGTGTTTTTACCTGTGTTAACGAGTTTACCTGCGTTAACAAGTTTACCTGTGTTAACGAGTTTACCTAAGAGGCTGTAAGTGTATCATAAGTAATATGTGACATCAGTATAGAAAACAAAGTCAGTACCAAGAGTTGTAAACTTGTTTATTTGTTTACAGATGTGCATGAAGAGAATTTACCTGTAACACCTGGGATTACCTGTGCCGTCCAAGATGACAAGACCACTGTGTTATGTTTACCTTGTATCTGTGATTTATTTTTGTGATTTGTAATACAATTTGAGCCAAAATTCATTGTCTGTTTTCATTTTTTCAGTGTTTTCAAGTTTTATTTCACTTGTAAACACCTATAATTAGAAAATAACAAAGGTTAGAGACAATAACAACAAAGAATATTAAAGTATACTTAATCCTCTTTACAATGGTATATGATAAATGTATATTAAAAGCAGGTTTCTGGTAGAAAAAGTGCATCAAAAATGATAGTGTGATTTTCCAATAATACTGCCAGGGAGGCCAGTGTACAGGCCTTGTCAGTGTCAGGGACTGCAGGGTCTCAAGGGACATAACTCTGGGGCAGCCAGTGATGAAAGAGTTAAGGTTATGCTTTCTAAGCCCTTCATTTCTTTGCAGAAAATATTTTAAACTCCATGTAAAATTTGAATTGTTATAATAGTGGCCTGTCTTCCGTGGACAGTTTGGGCATTCTTGAACTCTTTTCACTATATTCACTATATTCCCCCATATCACAAGATGTAGGAAGGTGAAACTTTGCCTGAACCATCCACTATACAGCCTCTCTCCTAATGTTGTTCAAACCATAAACTTTCGAAGACAACATCAGTTTCCATGATAACTACTTGAGAAAATAAAAAAAATAATAATTATTGTGTATAATTCTAGGAATACAACCTCTATTACATCATAGCCTAATAAGCAAAATCTAAATATTTTTTACATTTGTATACTTATCCTGCATTACTCCTAACTGCATTTACTTTTGTTTTTTGACAGAAAGAAAAAAGCTGTTCCAACCTGAAGTGTGGCAGTACCCTCGCACAGCCGCCACGTGACCTGGAAGTGGTCACATCACATAAGAGCACATGACTGCATTGAACGTAACATTTGAAACTCTTTAGGGAAGTAGCACTGTGATGGGTGGGCACTTAGATGAAGTAATGCAGGATAAGTATACAAATGTAAAAAATGTTTAGATTTTACCACATTTTTTAACTTATCCAGCATTACTCCTTAATGCATCTTTACCAGTTGGTATACCTTCAGAGGTGAGCAGAACTAATCCACTTTGTAGTCCCAAGAAAACAGTACAGCATCCCGAGCGATGACCGTAAACAATGACCATTCTTGTCAGAATGAAAATGAAAGAGAGAGGAATATAGGAAGACCGGGTAAGAGAACAGTAATAGAAAAAAGTGTGTGCTAAAATCTAGAATTGACCTATCAAGCGAATGCTAAGAGCATGTGAGGCTTCTAATCTGGGTTGGCAAAAACAGGAGAAGGTTGACGATCCCGCTCAATAGTCTATGATCATCAATTGCCACACGGGTTGGAGACTTGTTGAGCCACCACCAGGGGACCTAAACTATAACAGGGTTAGAAACTAACAGTTTTCGTCCACTAGTCCTTATAATGATAATATATAGCAAAACCCTTAAAAAGGGCGAATTTCTACTAGTCCTTATGATACCTTTACCATTGGGCAGTTTGGCAAGGACTATAGGACTAGTGCCAATTTCTAACGCTGCCTAAGAGCATCTGAGTAAACATGGCAATGCATGTACAGGGCACAATAAAAGCCCCTATTCGTCGTCTGGTCCCACCATGGTAAAAGACCTATCTGGGTGTCCTGGGAGTTGATTCTTGGAGGTGAAAGCCCATCACAGAATAGAGTTCACTGACACGAGCCGCTGTAGCCAGAGCCAAAGAAAGCTTGTTATTCTGGCATTTTCATCATTCTACGGTCTTCTGAAATGGCTAGAACGAAGTTGATGGCCACCAGGTGTGTAGATATGGTAGATCCATTGAGGAGATGTCAACAGCAGAGGAAGAGTAAATATTCAGCCAAGAATTGAGGGGAAGCAGATGTGGGATCCTGCTGCTTGTCCTTGCAGAAAGATTCAAAGAATCGCCATTTGTCATCATACAGACTCCTCGTTGACTGTGTATGAGCCAATTGTCTGCGAACAGGCTACATGAATACAACTACATTGGTCATCATATGCGGAAAGGATGGAAGCAAAGAATGGAATGTTGAAGGAGCACGCACGATCGACTGAGGGTTGAGAGTGGAGGCAGAATCAGCAGCCAATATCAACGACATAGTCGTCAAAGAAACAGAGGGTGTATGTAAATGTATCACGTGAGATTGGATAAGTTTAAAAATTTCAATTTCCCTGGTTTGTGGCGAGCCTCCAAATCTGCAGCTGTTGCCAATAGTACAGAGGACTGGAGGGCAAATTAAATAAACCTTTATTTCCTGACTGTTTATGTGAAGGGCTTGATTTTCATGTGACCACTCTCCCTGGATCATTAGATTGTCCATATGAGCTCCCCAGCCAGTGTTTGAGTCATCAGCCTGTGTTTGTGGGAAACATGAATGGAATGTTTGGCATCAAATTGTGATGGGGGAGCCATCAATTCAGGTCTAAGTGTCTGGAAGCTGTAGGTTGAATTTTCATTCAGATGGTGTATTTGTGAGGTATTTATCCAGTTCTGCAGAGGACGCAAATTTAGCCTTTCTGTGTAGGTAAGGTTTTGCATGAATGAGCAGGCTGTATGTCCCTCGATCTTGCAGCCCCTGAAGGACGTCATGGATTGCTCCTGGGCACCTCATGCCCTAGCTGACTTCTCCTTACTCGTGAATCTACCCTTCTTCTTAAACAGGGTTTCTTACAACTTCTCCTCCTCAGACTTTTATAATGAGACGATGAGTAAAATTCCAAGCGTCCACTAATCCTCCAAATTCCTTTTCATTATGAGAAATGCCCAGATCACATCTTGAATCCATCATGCACATCAAATCCTGGCACTTGAATCACATAGTATGATAAGTTCCACAGTTCACACAGACCAATGGAGAGTCCTTTCTCATGCTCTCAACACAAACTCTATTCTGTTTGAAACATCTTGCAAGATGATGTTTAACTTATGGATAGTAAATGTAACTGTGGAAAACCTTCAGACAATTATCAATGAAAGAACAAACCCAAAATTGGAAGTGGGAAAACTGGGAAAATGAAGTGCCGTATTCCACCTTGCACGTGTGCAGTAGATCAGTTTTCATACTTCTCATTAGAGTGGAGAGGACATATGTTGAAAAATCTTAAGATTTTTATAGTGTGAGTTTAGCCAAAATGAATGTAATAGAGGTAAGGTATTTGAAAGAATGATCTAGTTTTTGCCATTGTTCCCCAATGTATGCAGATAATTTGCCAAAACATGGTTGTAGGCTTGTGTGCAGTGGGGTTTGAAATATAGTTTCCCTATTTGCACTTATTTCTGTGTTTTGTCCTTGACTGCATTTGCACTTTGGTGACATTAACTGTAAGACTGTACAGACACTAATGTCAAATCAAGGTAACAAGTCACAACAAAAAAGTTGTGAAATCTAGACACCAACTGGCGCTGCTGGCATATTTCTTGACATAAAGGGAAAGTTGACTTTATGGAAGCTGAAGTCATGCTTCTTCTCATTAATTCTGGTGGATAGTTTTTTTTCACCCTGAATCTTTATGCATAGAATATGATACAGAGGAGGCGGTTTCACTGGTCTCTTTCTATCAAAAGAAGGGAAATTACCTTCAAAGTGACATAGGGGCGGTCGGGTAGCCTAGTAGTTAAGGCATTCGCTCATCACGCCGAAGACTCAGGTTTGATTCCCCACATGGGTACAATGTGTGAAGCCTATATCTGGTGTCCCCCACCGTGATATTGCTGGAATATTGCTAAAAGCGGCATAAAACCATACTCACTCACTCAAAGCAACATAAGACACAACCATGACATAGGATGGGAAGTGTGTAACTTATTTACAGGGGGCTGCTTAATTGCATGATCTTATTTTTCACTGGAACATCTCTAAATGCAGCCTTCTCAATCAGATTTGGCAGATAAAATTAAATGAATAAGTTACCGAGTTAATGGATTGATTCAAACATGCCTTAGACAATAGTCAAATAATACCACATTAATGTATTATCATTTTTGTTCAATAGATACCTGTTGAATAAAATCTACTGGCTTCTTAAACATCTGTATTGACTTGATCTTCTTGTTGACTTTCATAGTTGGGAATTCAAGAGCCTGAAAGAAAAAAGAAATAGTATGAAAAAAAATCATTATTGTGCAAAATTGGAAATTCTTAAAGTACTTATTTTCTTAAATTCAGAGATAATTTCAATGTTGCATCCAATTAAACGCTTTTCCTTTTAATTGCTCCTGTTGTCAGTGAAATACAAGTCACCCCTACAGAGGCATATTTTAGTCATAACTATTCTGAAATGATTCACATGAATAGGGAAAACCTTAATTTCAGGTTTGAAATTTTTACTGACATTTGCTGCAGAGTTGGGACGTCTGAGCAGGCTCAGATACATCTTGGTAGAGCCCAGTGATTAGTTGTTAACTTCAGGTTCAATATCAACAAAAATGTATACCCCTTCTACCTTCTACACAGCTGTGTGGTTTTCTTTGCGCAGTATACTCAAGAAAATACGGTAAAAACAATAATTTGATAATATTATGATAAGAACGCCTTCAGCTGTACTCATTTACATTCTCAAAAGTTGATAAACAGTCCCAGCACTGTAGCACACCTGTTTGAAATGTCAAAAAAACAAACACTTAACCAGTTATTGTCAGCATTAATATTCAAAGATTTTCTAGCTAAATACTGAACCTCGACTGCATTGAACAAAATATGATGTCATTATAAGGAGAAACAAACATGCTGAACTCTATCAGTCTGGCAATTTTAAAGGAGATGCAAAACATGGAAAAGAGATAATGTCAACATGTTGCCAGTTGGTTTGTTCATTCTCCTCCAGTTGTAACTATTTTTCTAATCTTTATGCATACTTTAGTTAGAATGGGATTATGACATGGTAAGTTGTCTGCTTTACTAATGCTTGTGACTGACACTGATTGACATGGAGCATGTCTTTGAAGCAGTTAATTACTCATGTTAGAATATTCTGAGTTTGTGTAACATGATCTAGTGCATGCATTTCTGATTTCAGGAATTGCACCCAAACACATACCTGACTACAGGTGCACACTCTCAACAACATAACATACACACACAGAGAGTTGTTCAATACATAAAAGAGTACTATGATTCCAGAGACCTTCACTTCCCTTGAAGGTTCCTCAAAGCCTTCCACTTCAATGCCCCTCCCAAACATTGACCCATGTATGTACAACATTTCCTCCTGCAACATGCAGTCATTCCCAAATTGAAACTTGAAGCAGCCATAAGAACAGCAGCTGTAGTTCAGTGGCCAAGGGCACCAGTGTCAGTAGAGATGATTCCACAATGTCTCCACACTGCTTAACGCTGCTGTCAACATCTGTAAGAGGGACCAATTTTGACACAACCACACCGTTTTGCAGTGACATTTAGAGTGAGAACGGCAACATCAACAATGGCGACGTGCCAAGTGGCGTCAAATTGTCTTTTTGGTTGAGTTTCGCTACCATCTTTCTCATTCTGATGGTCAAGTACATGCGTTTTGTGTTGCCGCGGATTGCTGTGTCACTCAGGCTAACCAATGGGATGGTGGAAGTGTGATGGTTTAGGGAGCTTCAGCTACAACCATAGGTCCCAGCTTCACGTCTTCTGACACGTGCGAGTGCTGTTGTGTATAGGTTCATCATGTTGTTCTCATGTTTATTACAACTGCAGTTGTTTCAACAAGACAACGCACATCCTCACACAACAAGGGTGTCTATTGCTCATCTGGCTCAGAACAAAATCAACATTAGCGGGCAGACAACCAAACACACTTGCAGAATTGGAACAGAGATGAGTGTTGATTAGATGGCGTTGTACCGTGCAAGCCAGAGTAACACCCATACTCGCAACAGAGGAGACATTTTCCCAACAAAGGCTATCTCTCTTTGACGTTCTGTGTTCCTTTGTAAACTTCTGTAATATCAGTGTAACAACCACCTTTAGTTCTTAAACTGATGTCCCAGGGGATTTTTGTTAGAGATTATACAATTGTTCTCCGTCACCGTTTCAAGAATACAAGTTCAAAAATTCAGTTCATATAACCACTACATGCATAAGACTAATATCAGTATATATATAAGGTGAGGTGAAATTGGGTTTAACGTCACGTCCAAGATTATTGCACTTATATAACGACATGCATGTTTGTGTATGTGTTTGTGTGGCTGCTTGTACTAGTCCGGACTGATGCCGATTTATAGTGCTAGCTCACTGAGATGCCATGCTGCAGTTTAACATGAATATCCCACTCAGACACAGTATACTGACTCCGAGCCGACCAGTCCTTGTTTTAGCACCTTAATGCCGAGCGCCAGACAGGGTAACAACAAGTACCATCTTTTAACGTCTTTTGGTATGACGCAGTCGGGGATCGAACCCCGGACCTTCCGCTCTCCGGGCGGACGCTCTACCACTAGACCACGGAGGCGGTTAGGGAATATATCAAGTCATACTATTGAAAATTGCAAAACTGCTTTTGGAAAGACCTTCACTGTGACCCAAAAGATGAATTGTACCAAGTTTCATTATTGACCTACAGTAAATTCTTCATGTGTTACATGGTGAACACGTGTTCTTGGCATGGGTCATCAATGTGTCAAAAAAAACATTTACAAAGGACATAATGGAGAATATGTTTCGGGGAAAAAGTCTTAATTGATTTTGCGTGCCAAAGGTGTAAGTGATCTTGGCAAACAATTTATTGAACATGTAAATACAACAGAAGTGGTCAATGTGAAACAAAGACGATTTGAACAGTTTCTGTGTCACCTCTCGGCGAGCTTTTACCAGGCTCATTACTCCTGAAACATGGCAGGGATAGCAATGTTGACCTGTGCCATCAAGTGATTAGTATAATCATTTGGTTTTTAGCAAACAGCGGACACTCGACACTGGCCCAAACAACGCTAAATCACAGTTAAAAGCTGAAGTTTTCTAAAGATAGACACGTCCTTACAATCCAATGTCACCATAAATCCAAGGACTGTTCTCATTGTTATGTCAATACCAACACAGAACATGAAACAAAAAATGGATTATAATGTGTGGGTGTCCCTGTCCAAAGTTACTGGCCGAGCACATGCTGCTGGTTGCAACCGCCATGTCGGGTAAGTAGATCTACTAAATTATAGAGTTGTGACGATTAATCTATACGTATTCGAATCACGATCTCTAGGTATCCGATACGATATATCGATATGGTTTCTATGTATCGATACAATAACAATACATTTCATTGAATAAATTAATCTGTTCTGAAACAAAATATTTACTCGTAATACAACCGGAAACGCTGTCTCGTGGACGCCGCCATGTTTGAGGTTGCTATGCAACATTTAATCTCATTTAGTCTCGCTAGTTAAAATGGTGGCTCTTGGCGAGGCAAGCGATGTGTCAGAGTTTATGAAGCCTCCGGCATGGTTTAAAAGTGCTGTGTGGAAGCATTTCCTTCTGTCGAGAGACAAAACAAAGGTGTCATGCACTATTTGCAATACCATTTCAACATATAATTGCAACACAATGAATATGGCAGCCCATTTGAAGAGACGCCACGCGAGTGAAGATGTTCAAATTCACAAGAGGGCAAAACTGGATCCTCGAACTTCCAACTCGTCGTCGAAGAATTCTGCTGGTGACTTTTGACTGAATGAATATTAGTGATTGGCCATTTTAACTCATTCAAGTCTTTTATTCTGCAAGAATTCCTTTATAAACAGGTATGGTGCTAATTATTATTGTACCTTTCTGCCTGTACCAAGTGCCAATTGAGATTGATATCATTTTTGTTAAAATTTTGACTGAGTGAACTATTGCAATCATTACTGAATATTTCTAGTAACAGTATTGTCAGTTGTGACACTTTATGTGTTCTAAAGTTCAAGTTGTGTAAACTGAGGGTATGAAATTTGAGTTTCAGTTCCTCCACAAGTCCATTCCAAACTGTTCAATATAAGCTTGATTATATTTCTTGCTCAGGGACAAGCAAACTCAGCATAAATAGAAAATATGCTGATTTCAGTGTGATGAAAATTATTTGTGTTTTACCCAATCATGGTTTAATGGCCAAGAAATATTTATTTTCATATGTGTGCCAAATTGATTTTTATTTTGGATTTTCCTAATTAAAAGTTTCAAATAAAAGGTTTTTGAGATCTTTCTTTCATCTAACTCCTTGAATTTAAGAACAAAATTACATGGATTACACAAAACAAAACTGAAGAATTTAGTTTATTTATTTATTCATTATTTAGATTTTATTTTCTTAAAAACAGGCATGTTCAGCAGTTAATTGTGTATCGTGATACATATCGAATCGAATCGAATCGTAAAGCAAATATCGCGATACGTATTGTATCGGTTTCAATGTGTATCATCACAACTCTACTAAGTTACCATTAAACAGTAGCTCTAAGGTATCAGTTTTACTTACTGTGAAGTACCAAAACTAGTGTATGTATAATTGTTCTGCAATTGAATGAATTCTCCAAAACATAACCAAATAACAATATTGCATTTTCACTGTGCAATATACCTATATACATGTACATGGTATGAGGGTGTAATGTACAGCAACATTGTATTAATCCTACATCATTGTGTTATGCTACTTAAACTTTTGGATGTGGAATTATATGTTTTTATACATTTTTAATTAAACAATCAGTGAACAATATATCTGTTTCAGTGAGGGTGAGTTCTGCAACCATGCTGCTGTCCTTTATGCTTTAGTTGACATCTCAGGAAAAAAACTTGATGGATTACATGCATTTACTTTAAAGGAATGCAAGTGGAACCAGCCAAGAAAACGCAAATTGAGCCCGGTTAAATTACAAGATATGACATTCACAAAACACAAGGGGACAGAACATGCAAAGACATCAACAATTTCAAAGCAAGATGCTACTAACGCATTGTTAAACTAATAAATGTGGATAGATTTGCTGCAAAACTTTGTGGAAGTCCTCCACATGCAGGGTAGTTACTGACTCAAAGTCTGTTGTCAATATGGCTGAAGAAACAGATGTGACAGTATCTTCCCTTCACTCAGTTGATTTTAACTATGCAGACAGCT